TACCTTACTTTTTGCCCACAGTAGTATATCATATAACTCCCACAGAAAACTAAAAAACTAAAAAAAAATAAATATTAAAAAAAAAACTTTTTTAGCTGTTTTTTTTTTTTATCAAAATATTTCTTTGAGATATAGTAATTATTTACTATATCAGAACTACGCTTTTAGTTTTGTCGAAATCGGACAATATTATATAGCTGCCACAGAACGATGACAAAATGCAGCTCAAAATCGCAAGGCATAGAAATCGAAATGTAGTCGTTTTGTAATAACTGCAAGGGTATATACACTTCGGATGCCGAAGTTGGCTTCCGTTCTTGTTTTTCGATTTGTTCTACGGGGACTATATCATTGTAGTCTTCCGATACTGCCCCGTTCCGACTTAAAAAAGATTTTTTTTTTTGTTATTCATAAGAGCATATAGTTTATTAAGTACATTATAGACTGGAAAAAGCAATTCTTTTCCTAGAAAAAATGGACCTTTGAGCTTTCTTCAAGTTGAAAGGAAAATCAAGTTGTGACAGTTTGACTTAAGGCGGAAAGATGTTTTGAAATATATAAGTATAATCGCTAAACGCCAGTTTTAGAAACTTCGGGCTAGGAGAGTTGGAATGTACAATCATTTTATTTCAACAGTTTCAGAATGGATAACAGTAAATTATGTGGATTAAGGTACCTTAGCTTTTGCCGAAATAAAGAACCGTAATAAAAAAAATTTGATTGGTTACAATGTTATTTAATTTTAATCATAGTTTTAACTGTTCTCCTAAGTACTTCCCGAATAAAACAGATGCCCTACCTCCAAATTAATAATAATTATTAAAGTCAAAATATAAAATGCTCGTTGCACTTTATGGCGGGCCATTCAGCCTTTGCTTAACGTATATCATCAGCACCTCTGTGCCACTCCCACTTGAGTCGACATATGACAGGACTCATTACGCATTAAGCCCTGAAGTGGCGCCCTCCACGCTTCATTCGCCCAAATATTCATGACAAGGAGCCACGGAAAGCAGAAGCAACAGACCATTTCGCATACGACACGTTGTCCCCCAGCGAGCACATCAAAGTCGTTTGGCTGTCTTTGCCCAACGTAATTTTTGTGTTTGTAGAACTCGCAGTTTTGTACTGTTCGAATTTTTGGAAAGAGTCAAAAATAAGAAACACCAGTTTCTTATAGCCGCAGAGAAAGCGTGGGGTAAAGAACACAACCGCTCTCAATTTTTTGAAAATTTTGAAAATCTTTTACTTGAGGAGCTTTTAATTCTTAAGCCCACAATTTTTAATATGAGAACATTTTCTGCAAAACTTAATAATATTTTTACAAAGTATTAATTGTACTTTAACGAGATGCAAAATATTTAAAACTAAATTGATACGTATCTCAAATTTTATGGGAACTGCTGTTGAACAAATATTTAAGTCTTAAAATATAAGTAATGATTTAGTTACTTAAAAACGAGACCACGGGTAAAACAAAATAAATTTTTGTTAGTACGAAAAAAAATTATTTCCAAGAAAAATCTTAGAGTTTAATAGGAAAAAAAGACATTCAATGTCAAGTTTGACTATTAACACATCCGGCTTCCTTGTCTGGTAACTTATATTTTATTTATTTCTATGTCTAAATGCTGTGAGCTTCTGACCTCAGTTAAATGTTAAAGTTCAAGGACAAGGGACAGCCGTTTGCCTGCTGGGTGTGTTAAAATTACCTGTAACCATTGCAAAGCAAATGTGAAAAATGTATATTTTTCAATTTGGGGCAGAGCCCCAGGGAGGTCGAGAGGAACAAAAAACTAATAATCCGCTGCTTTGAGTGCTTTAATTTATTTTTCTTTTGAAGATGTTTCTTGGAAGCCGTATTTTAATATTGTAATGTTTGATTTAACAAGAATAATATGTAACAAAGTAGTAGCTTGCTAAGTGAAAACATTCGGTGTCATAATGGAATTCAAGAAACTACAAAATGAAAATCGTTTGTCTAACACTCCTATTTAGAAACAAGCCACCTGCAATGTCATTCGTATATATAACAAAAAATAAACTGAGAAGTAATTTCTGTGACTTTCTGCCAAATAGACTAATTACTAAGGTAATGTCACATGACATTTAACAAGTTGACAGTCCTCTAATTCTTGACCCAAAAACATTATATTGGGAAAATAAAACTTTTCAGAAGTCCTAATTAGCGCGTAATCTAATCCAACAATTCGGCAATTGTGGACTTCTCTGACATTGAAATTTTCCAAAGAAGAACAAAAACCCAGTGCGGGGGCATACTCAATTATGGAAGTATTTTAAGTTTTGGAATAACTTTGTTGACTGCTCTTGTTCTTAGATATCAATTAATGTCTGGGATAGGCAACGAAAGTAACTTATTTTTAAAAATAAACTTTGTAGGCGAAGCAGCTCTGACGGCTGTCAGTTTATTCTGCTCAATTTGCAAGGGAAGTGACGCAGAAACCCGAATTGCGCATTACGCATACGCCACGATGTGGTGTGCGAAATTAACAGAAGTCAAGTTTCACCCTGCATAATTGATGCAAAAGCTTCTTGTACTGCCTCGATGTGTGTGGCGAGGGTAATCAATCAGCTTGATTGGTATTCCAAATTATTGGAAATTTGATGGTCGAAACGGCGTTTGGAGGGGCACTTGAAAATTCCCCGCTAAGTGAAGTACGTAAATTACTGCTGTCCCGCTTGATTTCCCTTTGTCGTCGATATTCAAATAGAAGAAGGACTTTTATGGTGAGGAAGTGGTTGACGTCAATTAGTTTCCCAGAAGAAAACTTGCAAATGCACTTCGCCGTGACTACTCTATTCATAACATTGTATTGTGTGGCACTATAAATTTGTTCAGATAAAAGCGAAATAAGGAACCACCTGAGCCCATTTCGTTTTGACGAAACATTTACAAGATTGATGATAGAAAGGGCAAAAGTTATTCACAAAACCGTTTGCCAACTGAGAGAATAAGATTTTATATATGAATAAAGTGAATACGAAAATGGGCCCCAGCTGGTTTTGGGACACTATCATTAGGACCGTATCCCAATCAGGCTCAGAATATATTTTTTGTAGCATAATTATATTAACTTTTTTATCAGTTTTTAACCACCCATGCTCACGCTGATTTGCAGGCATGCAACCTGAAACAACATCGACAATCGGCTTACGCGACAAAACACTCTGCTTCGATAGTTGGCCCACAATGCGCTTACCACTTACTGCACAAAGACTAAGTAAACCTGTTCTGTCATCGTTTATTTGTATCTGAGGCACGTGGCCGCAAGTAAGATGGCGCTGAGGGCGCCGCAGTTTAAATGGCGGCACTTAGAGCTAACGTTAACCTAAAGGAAAAATAATTTTTGCCTTTAAAAGTTTTAAATATTCTTTTATATTACTTTATAAAATAAGAATGTCAGTCATAATTTCCGCGACTGGTAGAATGTAACCCTCTACCATAACATAATGGTTTCCACAGGATTTTCCCAAAATTATAGCTAACGTTATATCCGTTAGCATCAAAAATCAAGCTTATACAGACCGGGATGGGTTACAAAAAAATCTAGACGAAAATAGCCTTATACACTACGGGTCTTTTTTTTGCTGCCTTATCTGCGCACACATGTTTGTCGTCTTACATGATTCTTTTGCACTTCTGTGCATCAAGGTTGATGGGAAACTTTTTATGGTATTTTCACGGAAAAGTGTTTTCCTATACTGGTTTTTATTGAATGTTCCGCTTATTGGCTTACTTGCTGATATATTTTCGTGACGCTGACGATTGCAACGAGTGTACTTTTTGTTTGCGGTCTATAGTGTCGCTAACACTGTTGACAGGCACTCGCAGGGTTCTGAGTGCATTGCTTTTGACAGGACTCGCGGTCTGTGGGCGGTCCTTGTACATACCAAATTGAATTCGCTTCGTAATTTAAAAACAAAAAAATCTCTGCACTTTAGTTATTCAGCTTCTGTATTTAAAAAATGAAACCTGACCAGGTCCTACAAGTTTGACGAGCTTTGAGTGCTTTCCACTCCTCAAATTTTGATAAACCTTCTTTCGCTCGATTAAACAGCAGCTAACATACATATTTATGTACGTATGTGCTCGAGGATACTTGGGAATCACGCAAACAGCAAAAGACAATAACAGCGATGATGGGTACCGCCATCGCTAATAACATTTTCGCAACAAAGTGAAAAACCTGAAAGTGAAAAACCTTTTGGCAATTTCCCGTCTTAGGGCTGCCGTTTTCGCTCGGATGAAAAATGTGTTTTTTTAATAAAAAGAGATATAAGATTTTTATTCAGATTTTTATTATTGAGGAAGCTCACGCAGTTGAGCAACAAGCAGGGCACAAGCTTCCCGCTTCCCAAGGATTTCCCAAAAACGCTCTAATTTCCCGCATCAAATGTTGCGCATTCGTGTATAAAGAAGAACCCGAAACTTTACACACCGATATGTGTATATAGGAGAGTGTATATATATATATTTGCCACTCCAACTGTTGGGAGTTCGCCTACTTATGCTAATTTAGCATGCAGCTTGCGCTGAATGTTTACTTCGTTTGTTTCGAATTCGTTTGACTTTTGGTTTGTGGCCCTTTTCTTTTCCTTTTTGTTTAGCTATATATTTGGGTAACTGTGGTGTGTGTATGTGAGACGCCAAACAATAAAGATCGGGAAGTTCCTACTCTCTGTTTTCAGGATATCAAAGTAAAATCGGAGGCCCTTTCCGAAACTTATTTTCTTTATCACACCCCATGGAAATACTCTGCGGACTTCTGTTAAATGTGTTCACATTATGATTGGAAATTTGCCCAATTAATAGGCAGTAAATCGAATGAATCAGATGGGCAGCAGAAAACCGGCAAACTAATTGCGAAAGTACCTACAGGAAAATAAAATATTTAGCCCACCAAAGTGCGCAATCAGAGCTTGAAGAGCAAACTTTGCACATTAAATTAATAGCTTGGCATTGTTAATTTACGACTTACCTGAAAACTATGATTTACGTTCTTGATGCCGCACTCGAAATAACACAAGTCCGATAGGTCAATATCGTCGAAAACATCGCACTGTAAATAAAGATGTTTAAAAAAAATATTAAAGTCCGTGCCATGAAATATTAATATGGAAATTGCAACCCTTTCTTTGCCACATATTTTTAATTTTGTGACAGAAATTCCTCTTGCGTCTTACATCTTCCTCGGCCCTCGCTTAGAAAAGGACTACGTTGGCACTGAGCCAGGTCAGAAGAAGGGAAAACAAATATACATGGTATATTTCGCCTTGTCTTTGGCCTTAATAGAATGCTTAAAGCTAGCCGGCGGCTATTTTGATGTGGCTCAACTCTCTGCCGGCCTTCCAACTTGTCTGCCCCGCAGGTCCTTTAGGAAATTGAAATGGTTCACACACACAGGCCAGCAAATAAATGGATATTTACCAGCCAACAAAGGCCAGCCCAAACACATAATATAAATGTGACAATGAAGGCCCGTTCCATGCATGGCGATCTTGATGCCGGTGAAACCCGAGCCCCAACATGAAATAAACCCAATCTTGAGACTGACGACCATCGAAACGCCAAGGTTTGTGTACTCAAGTAGTTTTTGAACATGCCGAAAATTGGTTTTCTTTTGACTCAAGTGACTCGGAAAGTTTGATTTTCCTTGTGCCCCCAAGGTAACACTGAAGGCTGTTTGTCAGGTAGGCAAACAAGTTTTGATTATTTTTGTATTTTTGTTTTATTTGCCTCAATTCCCACTGCAATCAATTTTTGAGTATTGTTCTGGGCATCACCCTGCAAAAACTAAGTGTTCTAAAATCAATTTAATATTGCGACTTAGCGGTGAGCTTCCCCTCTTGATTTGTTTTGATACCACCATAAATGTTTCTACTTCCGAGAGGTGCAGCTGTACCATCGTGCATGTTTTTCGTTCCGTACGCATCCTTGGCATAAATAATTTTTGTGAAGACAACTTTCTTGACTTTCAGGGTTCTTTTTTTGGCGGAACTGTGTCGGTGGCAGGTTAAGAACATTTATTGAAGCCACCGTATGACACCCGAATTCTGCAGCTCACAATACCGCATCCTTCTCCAGGAATTTCTATTGGATTCACCGTACGGATTTTGTTACCTCGAACTGGAATGTTCTCCGGTGGACTCGTAATAAGTTGTTTTGGCACATAATTGATTGAAAACAAGGCTATCACTCAAAACCAAGTGGATATATTTGATGGAGCGGCTTAATTCGCCAGAGTGAGCACTACAATAATTAAACGTATATATAGGCAGTCCAAAATCCCGACGGATAAACGCACATTTTGGCACACTCGGAACAAATGTGAGTATGAACTGCTAAGAAATTACAAGAGATTTTCGAGTACTTACACTCGAGGAGCCCCATCCTCAGTCCTCGGTATATTTTGGAGGTAAAAGAGAGGCACAGCATTTGGTTAAAGTCAACGAATTTCAAGTACTTTTAGAACTTACTATGTCAGCCACAACCCGTTTCGAACTTCCATTTATTCGATATTTGCATTTCGTAAAAAATATTGATTTTTCATTTTTAAGATATGTTGGTTGGTTTTCTCATATAGGGGGAAGTATCATTTAGGAGGTCCATAAAAATGTTGTGTTGTTTTATTTAAATCATTAGCTATCTAAAATAACAAAGTTGTGAAGACAAAGTTTCTTTAATAGTACAGACAAACGGTGAGGTTTCCTTTATTTTCTTATTTTTAATAATAAAAAAAAACCTAAGCCATCGTAAGCAAAAAAGTCAAACAAATTTCATTTAAGCTACTTTGCATGAGATAGTAAAAACTCTTACTTGAGATGTAGATGTGACTGCAATAAATTTAACAATTTCAATAAACAAATTAAACAAAATTCAATTTTCTGTTTATTAATATCATCAGCCTCCATTGCAATGGTAAATGTTACACATATATGTAAGGAATAGATCAGTTGCTACAGGTTGGCAGCCCTACAGAAGAGAAGTGGCAGTAGAAGAGAAGGAGCAAAAGTGAGCAGACGCAAGTTGTCCTGAATTAAGTCCGGAATATACAAGAATAAGTCGAAAAAGTCGTTATATGTCGCGGAGAATTTAAGTTGTATCAAATTTGACAAATCATATTTAACCAATATAAAATATAAACAATAAATCTTCATTACATACATATTTCATGAACATTTTTCAGCCTACATGAAATACGAGGTAATAAAATGCTTCGTTTATGTTTTTTAAAAAGTAAAATGTATTATACAAAAATACCAAGTGTATGCTTCGTATAACTTTATCGGTTAATTTTTTTTCTTTTTATTTTTTCATAGCTTTTTGGGAGTGCGCTCGATTTTTGAAGTGTTTTCTGTTTGATGCGCGTTTCCGCACTTGTTAAATTAAGTGAGCACAGACATTTTCCGGTTGAACGGATATCGCAAATCTCGAGCAGAGTGGAAAAGCAGAAGCCCTGCTGCGGATCTCATTAAAAGCCAGGCGAATAAATATATTTGCTTATTCGATTTATTTTTAGTACACGGGACGGTAAAAATACATAAAATAATTGTGGGCAAAGGGAAATTTTGAGTTTTTGACGGGTCTAAGACACATGACTTATTAGGGAATTGGCATTCCCTGCGGTATCAACTCGCATTCTCTGGGGTCAATCACAGACACATTAAGGCAAATTGCTAATTTTCTGTGCTATCAGCTTCAGTCCCCAAGCATTAACCCAACTTTGATTGCATTAAGCCGAGATTTTTCTTTCGCCTCGAGAGCGAAGGAAAAACGGGCCGGAATAATCATTAATTTGCGCACTTTCGAGGGTCCGCGGTCCAGGTCCTGAGACCAAATCCGCCACCTGGCGCACGAAAATACTTTCTTGCCTTTTATTTAATTTCATTTCTTTTTTTGCTTGTGTACAGCTTGCAGAAAAGTTTTGGGGCCGTTCATATCAATTTCTTTGCATTGCTTCTGAACCATTTTTTGCACGCCAAATCACTTAATGGGAAAAAAGAGCTGGCAGTCATTAGAATTTAGTGTACTCGAGCCGGGAAAGTGCTGAGTTGTGCGTTGAGAGCTTAAGCCTCACTAACTGAGCGCTATTCGGAAGAGATTTACTTTAAGAAAGTTGGAGGCGAATCAAAGCAGTCCTATCGGTGCAAAAACTTAAAAAAGCAATCCTGGGGGTACATCAACATCGGATTGATCCCTTCACATCTTCCAACTTTCGAATTGCAAGTGCCTATGAGTTCCTGTAGATAAAGTTCTTTCTTTGAAATGTCACTTTGCGAAGTTTTGTTCGCAATTGCATTCAAACTATTTGCTTTGGGGCGAGCCAGGCAAACATTAAAGACATTTGCCACTGACTTTTCCATTAACTTTGAATTTTGCATCCTTTTTCAGAGAGAAAAGTTTTGACATTAGAACGAAAACAAAGGCACAGGAAAACAGTGCGAAAACGAGACACAGTTGTCAGAGGAACATGGCCTCGTTACCCTTTATTTGTTGGTGGTGCCAACCAGTTTTGGGTCTAATTAGTACTAAATAGCTTTGCCTGCCCCTGGTACAAATTACGCTTGGGGGATTTCCTGAGTTGGGGTTTTTGGTAGGGGTTTTAGTGGCGATTTGGGGCGTGGCGCATAGGTGTCTGCGTGAGCGTGTCTCGTTTCATTTGGCGTGTCAAAGTGGCGCAGCTTGAAATTTTGACATTTTAATAGCATAGCGAACCCGCCACACCCCCGAAAAACCAACAGCTCCATTTTCTTCGCTTTACCCCAAAGCACACCCTCCAAGTTATTAATGTGCCATAACATCGACCGCCCCTGCTGTGCTTCACCAATCTTTGCCGGGAGCCACATTTAAGAATTTAGCAAAGTGTTTATGCCTTGCAAGAGACTGATTCTTATATAGAATATATATGAGAAAAACCAATAAAGTATGTATTCGTCATATATCATTATCCTAATTCAATTTCAAAGGCCTAGGTACCGTTAAATGTTATTTATTATATACATATTAAGATATACAGAAAAAATAGAATTAAAAAAATTTTCAAAGCCGAAATACTCTTTTAATTTGTTCATTATACATAAACTATTAAAATTGATCTCGACACTCAGCAGCTTTGGCGATTTAAGTGTGTTGTGAATTGTAAGCAAACTCAGTGTCAAAAAAATAATTAACCAAAATGAAATGTATTACTTCTTCGGTGTATAATCTTATTTATGTTAGATTAATTTTAAATTTCTAAACGAACCAATTCCACCGGTGTACGATTCCATTTTAATGGAACGGAAGAGGCGTTAATCACCCATGTCCTAAATTACAGAGTTTGTATTTTACCCTTCGCTCCGCTGTTTAGCAATATTGATTGTTCTGGGGCACTCAGCCGTCGGCCCCATATCATCAACACTGGCAATTACATGTGACCCACTCGTTGCGAAATGAACATTTTACCCTTGCATGCGTCTTAGGGGCAGGAACAAAAGGCCGCCGGCAATTAGAGGAATTTAGAACGGGGCGAAGACGAAGGAGGGCGTAACCTACTTTGAGGCTCGTTGTAATTTGTCATGTCCCTGCTTCTGCGATAACAACTGTGACCCGATTTCGGGGCAGAACTAGGGGAATGAGGCTGGGGAGCCGAAAAGCTGCCTGACAATAATTGTGATTAATAGCGCTGAGCTTCAGTCAATATTTTTCAGCCCATTTCGATGCGGTAAGTGGCATTGAGAGCAAATGCAGCAAGTGACAGTCACACACGCTAAAGAAAACGCCGCAAATAACCCATTGTGACATTGTAATGCTGATGAACATATATTTCAATATAAGTAGCTAGGTGGATTGAGATTTATAGGTTTATTTCAGCCGCAAAAGTACCATACATCACTTGAACAACCTTAATTTTTACTATATAATGCGGGTCTTGTCTAAAAGGACCCATTTTCGCGCGCCATCATCTGCATATTAATCTCTACTAATAAATTTCAGTTAAAAGAAAATGTGATTTCGTTTTGTGGCACATTCATTCTGAGCTTTAGTATGTCATATGTATTTTGATTGCTTTTAGTTGCC